TAAATCCAAGTTTGATCACATATCTGATATGGGACATACTCTTAATCAGGGAGTAGAGACTCCTGAGGACATGTCAGTTTTATGTGAGTCTAGTAGGATCATTCGACCTTCAAGAAGGTGTGAATCCATGATTACTAATCAGGTATTACTGATCCAAGATGATGAACCTACTAGTTGTACCAAAATAAAGTCAAGTGTTGACTTAAAGGAGACAACAAGAGGCCATGATACTCGAGATGAACTCGACGTATGTGAACAAGGTTTGGACCTTGGTCGAGCCTCCTGATGGAATAAAATTTATAAGGTTTTGTAAATAGTTTATAAGGGAAATGTCGATATAGATGATAATATCCATATATACAAAACAAGACTAAAAGTAAAGGTTAAGTGTTGACCTTGGTGAAACCTTTCTCCTGTGGTCTTGCTGAAGTCCATTCGGATTTTGGTTGCAACAGTTGCATATCGTGACAATAGGTTAAGATAAGTCTCTATGGAGCTGAAATCTTCGATTTGATGGAAAAGTGAAAGTGTTTGATTTTATCAAATTTGAAGACGAACTGTGTTGTTTACAAGAAGATAGTGGGAGCATTGTCGTATTCCTAAAATTATAGAAAACGACATCCCCATATTTCACTCGTTGAAATAATGGTTGTTAAAGGATTTATTCATGACAGATATAGGAGAAGCAACTTGATTTATAGAGATAGATCTAGAAGATTGATTAACTCATCCCAATTTACATAAATGAAATCTTCTCTATGGAGAAACTGGTTTACTCTTAAACGGTGTATTGGAAAGGTTCCGAATGTGAAGCAACCGTTGATTCAATAGTAGAAACCTAATACATGATTACTTCAGAAGTAGCAAAGAGTTGCAACCTGGATCATGATATTCATAAATGAACTTCGAGTAGTTACTGATATTACTGATCACATACCATTGTATTGTGATAACAATAAAGATATTGTGAAAGCAATAGAACTAAGGTCTCATCAATGATCCAAACATGTATTAAGGCGGTATAATCTCATCAAAGAGATCATACATAGAAATGACGTAAAGAGAAGAACAAATTTCCACATTTAACTATATTGCAGATCCACTGACAAAGAGTTGTTGTAGCATAAACATGATCGTCATGTAAATTTATGATATTGGATACATAAGTGATTGGATCTAGTGCAAGTGAGAGTTTGTAAGTATTATGCCCTAGGTCCAATCAATTTTGGACATAAATACTTTTATATATAATTAATGTAATTTAATGGCAGATCTATTATTTAATAATAGACAATTAAATAAATAATAGAGTCCATATATTCAAATTTTCATAATTTGTTAATCACAAGGAGTTGTGATTGTGAGATACAAATTAAATTTGATTGAATCTTAAATCATCTATGGTCGTAAGTAATAACGAGATACAGATAGACCATTCATTCCTTATTTGTGAAGTAAGTAACTAATCTCACAAGCTAAAAAATAGGGAAAATAAAATATATCACTAAATACACATTTCAACAGTTTCTTAATGTTGTCAATAGCATCCAATTTTCGAATGTCTTTTTTGCAAGCGACGCCTAAAGAATAAGTTGTGGGCAGGCAATGCATATAAGTACAGACAGAAGTGATTACGAATGAGATTGATATGATTCAATTGTTTAAATGAATGGGTCTTTTTAATTATGATAATATTTGGGTATTGCAAACTTGTTGCTTGTGGAACTGGGGTCATTAGGTCAATGTGAATAAATTGTCAAAAAAAAAAAAAAAGAGAGAGAGAGTACAAATTCAATTCTAGAGTTGGGTATTCATGATTTCGATTCTAGAACTATCTGGGATTACTTAGATTCCCAATTCTGATTTCTAATTTTTGTTAAAACATTTGATCTTAGTTTTGGTTCGGGAGGTTTCATTCTAAGATTATGTTTGAACCACATTTTTTCAAAAAAATAAAATAAAAAAAATTCTTAAACAGTAATTTGACATCATTTCAAATACACGTTTTTCAATAAAATAATATTACACGCAAATTCAAAACTTTTCTTTATTTTTTAACCACACATTTTTTATCAATATACTATTCATAAATACATTCTTAGTAATATAATGTGGCTCAAACAAGGGCTAAATATGCTAACCTTTAGTGTTAGTGTGAATAATAAATGAGTAGTAGCCGTGACTCGTGAGTGTATGACTAAAATTAACATTTGACTTCAACTCCAAAAAATTAGGAAATTATATAATTGTTTAGGTTTTGTTATAATCTCCTTATAATTTGAGATTTTATTATAATCTCCTTATACTTTGAAGTCATACTCAAATATTAATTTAAATTACACGATCACAATTATTATCCAATTATTATCTGAACATTTCTTGGAATCAGCTCATCTTCGTTATAATCTCACTATAGTGAAACCCAAAAAAATGTTCTTGAGATTCCGTTTGTGTAAAATGATTAGCAATTTTTCAAGTAGAATAGTTCTTAAGATTCCGCTCTTGATTTTCATTATTTTTAAAATTTATTTTTCTTTCTCTTATTTTTACGTATGCATTCTTCAATAAAATAATATTACACGTAAACCAAAATTTTTTACTTATTTTTTAATTACATATTTTTTATTAATCTACTATTCTAAAATATAATTTTCTATTAAAAATGGGACTCAAACATGCTCTAATATGATTTTATCGAGATGGAAAAAATGAACTTTTTAGCAAAGCCAAACATAATCTCATACTCAACTACAAGAATGTCTTCAAAAGGCATAAACAAACGAGTAATGTTATTTATAGGCAGTGATTGCTGTAATCTTCGTATGTAACAATTTATCATGTGAAGCATTATCTTGTTATTTGAAACTTATATTATATGACCAAATGCAAATAAATTTGAGATCTTATATGTTCGGCCATGAGGGTTGTCATTAAACTTAGCAGCCCACATAATTAATAAATTAAATTAGTATAGTAGACTACTGGTGGTCGTATCGTGGCAGAGTTTGTTCATGAATGTCAATTCTGTATCAATATAATGTTAGCAGCGTTATCACTCAAGTTATAGGTGTTGGGAATCTACTTATACATGCACAGCGGAAAATTAAAATTATTTCGATTCCAACCGAGGATCCCTTTGTGTTTAGATAGAAATCGTGATAAAGATTGTACCTTTGACGAATTCTGCAAACCTTTTGCTTTTCTTTTCATTCCAGCAATCTTGATTCGCCACCCACAGCTGTCCAATTGTCCAGCCTCCAACAGTGATTCACACAGAGAATAAGATTGCAGCTACTAGGATTTTTCCTCTTGTGCAAGCAAAAATAATGAAAATCATATGGACGTCAAACCCTAGCCATGTATTTATATAAATTCAAACGGGCTCGGCCCGGCCCGATTCGGTCCAATATTTAATTAATTCATTTAATTAAACTCGGTCCGTGAATAAATAATTTAATCAAAGCTATGTTTTCTAGTCACTTCACGTGAAACCATGATCTTCAGACCGCAGTCATCCTGTTTTTTTTTTTTCCTTGAAACGTGTCCAAGACGTGTTAATTGTGCGGCTCGTCCCACTTTTTATTCCAACAAAGACGTAATTTAAGGGGTTGTGATATATGTGCTCGGACGTTGACACGCTCGATTACACGCTCCTCACACAAGGAGCTCGCACACTTTTTTTTATTTGACGCGGGTTCCCTTCTCGTGAGGGAAGTGTAATTAGGCATGTCGACTTTCGAATATAAATAGCAAAATTCTAATTTAAGTAATTGTTTGTTTCTTAAGAGTACCAATATAAATTATTAAATTAGATTTTAACTGCAACTGACAAAAATCTTATCCTTTATTATAAATCAATCTAATGGTTTAGATTTATTTTCTTAAAAATAGAAAAAAAAAAATAAAATTGGCCCCATCCCTTACCTCCACCCACTCGATCTTCCTACACCATCGCCAATTAATTTTTCACTATTCATGTGCTTCGTCCCGATCATGAATCGCAATGTGAAAAAAATAAAATCACGTCTCTGTTCACAATTGTTTGTCAGAAATTGGTAGTCGATCCTCTCTAACACAATCTCGGGTCAAGATTTTATTCAAAGCATTACCGTTTATTCAGAAATTCCGAGGCAAGACTATAGTTGTCAAATGGAGGAGGTGCGATGAAGTCCATGGCCCTGCAGGTGTCTGTAATTGCGGGCATTGTCATCATCCTACAAAGATCAAGGTGAATGAGTAAAGGGTTATTGGGGGAGTGGTGGCTGGGGCTAATTTCTATTTTTTATTTTAAAAAAAAATAAAACTAAACCATTAGATTGATTTATACTTAAGGAATGAGATACTCCATCAAATCATTTGTCAAAAATCTTTATAGGAGGAATGCTCCCTATTTATTATATATAAAACAATTTAGTTAGGACTGAACAACAAACTGTCAAATTGTAAAATTGAACCAAAATCGTTTTTTGAAACTCTTGATTTTGGTCCATTTAAATCCATCAACGTTTTGGTTTTAAATCTTTGCAGATCGTTTAAAAAAGGTCTGAAAATAAATTAATTTAAATCTTATTCAACCCAATTAAAATTAAATACATCCCAATTAAAATGATATCTCTATATAATACATGATCCAATTAAACTCACAATCATTCATCCTAATTAATAACTTGTACACATATACACATTAGTCATCGCAATTGTGAATGTCAAATCCTCAAATTATGTGAAGTATTGAACAATCGTTGTTGAATCAAATGATTAAATAAATTAAAAAAAATAAAATAAAATCGACATAGAGCTTGTTTAGTACAAATTTTAAGTTCATTAAAATTAATTTTTTTGATCGTTATTTCACTATTCCAACTTCTTATTTTGAATTCGTCTCCCACAAATCAACTAACAGTACCAATAAAATGTGCACACCAAGCGAGAACGCTGGCATTGAATTTCAAAACGCTGTCCCCTTCCTCGTCACTCTCGTCATCACCATCCACGTCGTTGCTCCACCGTCCCCGCCGCTACCATCCCACTATGGTTCTTAATAATAAGTTTGCAAAACCACCCCTCCTTAATAACATCCAGAGATAATAAATTTGCGGTTGATAAATCCATCTTCTTTTATTTTTATATGGGGGCATCATTATCGCTTTTGGCGGAGAACGGTTCGGGCAACGGGGGTCCGAGTCTGGGGGATATACCTGAGAGCTGCGTGGCGTGTGTGTTTCTGTACCTGACGCCGCCGGAGATTTGCAATCTGGCCCGCCTCAATTGGGCCTTCCGTGGGGCTGCCTCATCCGACGCCGTTTGGGAAGCCAAGCTTCCTTCCAACTACCATAATCTCCTCGACATCCTCCCCCATACCGATGGCGACACCCACCACAAGCTCTCCAAGAAAGCCATATTTGCCATCCTCTCGCGGCCCCATCCCTTGGACGACGGCAACAAGGTACGTGAAAATAAAAATCCATTTTACTTAAGAAAAAGGAAATATATTTTAAAATTTTTATTCGCGTTATAATTTCTACGATGGTTGGATGTTGGATCTAATTTCGGATCTTTTTTTTTTTTTTTTTGAAATTTGTGCTACTTAATTTTTCGAAATGATTAGAGTTTTGGTTCTTTATTATTAATATTATTTTCAATTATTCTCTTACGAGTGGAATTGGGGGAATTTAGCATTCCGTTCAAAACCTTTTCCTAATTTGGAATAAGAACGTGAACCAACCCCCAGAATTTCTTTCCATGGTTTGGAGAAATTTGATGTTGATAGTTCAGTGTTATACTCGTGTTTATATCTTGAACTAGTAAGTTTTTCGGTTGATCATTAAATTTATTTAGATTTTTATTTATTTATTTATTTATTTTTTTCCCATCTCGATTCTAGTCTCAATGCATGGACCTTTGTTTTGATGTTAAAATATCTGCTCCTAGCTTTTGGGTTGGTGAAAGTTAAAATTGGCTCATTAGTATATCGGTCCCTTTTTTCCTCAGTTCCTACAGGTATCTATATAATTTGAGTTTATGCGGGAATTTTAAATTTCAGTGTATTGAGTGATTAGGAATCTTTCATTTGGTACTTCCAATCTGGGTATACTTTGGTAATTCTTAATACTTATTCTTGTCTTTTCAACTTGGAGGAATTGCAGGAAGTTTGGTTAGACAGGTTTTCTGGGCGGGTTTGCATGTCAATATCAGCCAAGGCAATGGCAATAACAGGGATTGAAGACCGGAGATATTGGAATTGGGTTCCTACAGAAGAATCTAGGTTTGATTCTAGCCATTAATAATATCTTATGCCAGTAGATACCATCATTATATATTTAGCTGATCCAGCCACTAGATACCTCTTTGCTTCTGGATGTTACATTCATAAAAGTAGTGTTCTAAAAATATAAAGCCTGGCTAGGTGGCTAGGCTGTCAAGCTTTGGTGTAAATAAAAGTTATATTTCTATCGAGTCAAACTATCAGACATTCATAAAGGCCTCGTTTGGGAGTGATTTTGTGACCGTTAGAAGAAAAGTGGGCCACCTAAGAGAAGAAGTTAAACTTTACGGCTGAAATAGTGAAATAACGATCAAAAAATCAATTTTTTGGAGTGAAAAATTACTCCCAAACAATCTAAGAGTGACTCAGTGCGTTTGGTAGAGATTTTGATAATTGATTTTTTGATGGTTAGAAATTAAATGGGTCCTACATGTGAGAGAAAAATTCAAAAATGACGGCTGAAATAGTGAAATAATGGTTAAAAAAATGATTTTATCTGGCTTTTAAGCTGTACCGAACAAGCTCTCAATTGGACAAAATGATGCCTAGAGATTCAAATTTTGCATGGCTGCAAATGGCATGACTCCATACCATTGAATAATGTCAATGAGATCAAGAAAGAGACGTGTGATGAAAATTGTTATATCCACTATAATACAATTAAAAAAAAAAAATTATATAGAAAAAAGGGAAATGAGAAGATTTGATTTGAAAATTTCCAACACCTACATCAACGTCGAATCTTGAAAAATCCTAATTTATGTTTGATGGGATATCTTGAAAGGAGGATTCATACACTCGGTTAACATCTACCTGTTTACTATTATTAACAAAAATCTTATTAGTATCTAATGTTAGTGCAAAATCTTGGGGAAAATTGCAGTAATGGTCTCTAACTTTTTCAATTTTTGCAGACTTTGCCCAAAATTTCAATTTGTGCCAACCAATGTCCCTAACCCTTAAGAAATATGCATTTGGAGCCCAAATGAATTTGACTGTTAGTTGACCTAGAAAATTGATTTTTGACCAATTTTGACTAAATTAAAAAGAAAAGAAAAGATAAGTTAGCATTTTATACATAAAATAATGTAAAATTAAATTTTAAAAAAATAAAATAAAATAAAAGAAACTAAAAAATTCATCTCTCTGACAATCACTACCAAACTGGAGAAACTCAATCAAACAAAAACACAAGCACAAAACAATTACGAGAATCAAATCGCTAGATATTGTCACACAATTAAACCGTTCACCACCTAGAAATTTTTGCACCAGAAATCAAACCCACTAAATCTCGACATTGTGTACTTCGCAGAAAACGAATCCCAAAAATCAAACCCCATATCATCTTGCCGGTTGCGGGTGAACTAATCTGCGTGTGAACTCAGAAATCAAACCCCATGAATCTCAACACTTTGATTTCATATATCTAAATGTGAATTGTGTCTGCATGTGAATTGATTTTGTGCAAATGAGGAAGCTCTATGTGTTCCGCAGTTAAATTCTGCTATGTATAATTGTAGATGCAGCGCAAATCTACCTCATCTTCAATTATCAGGGGAGAAGAATCCTAATTTGATTTTGGGTAGGTGGGGTCGATTACGATGGCAATGGCAACGGCAACGGCAACGGTGGCTCTCTAGGTTTGGTTTTGGGTGGGGTTTGGGGGTGTTGTGGGTGAAGGAGACAAACTTATTATAGCCTTCCAATTTTATTTTTAAAATTTTTTTGTTTATTTATTTAATGTGGTAATTGCAAACTTACCATTTTACCTTCCAATTTGGTCAAAATTGGTTAAAAATCAATTTTCTTTGTCAACTAACAGTCCATCCATGTGGACTCTTGATACATGTTTCTAAAAGGTTGGGGATATTGGTTGGCACAAATCAAAGGTTAAGATAAAGTCTGTAAAAATTGAAAAGGTTAGGGATCGCCGTTGCAATTTTTCCCAAAATCTTGCATGTAACATGTTAGGCACTCTGAGGTTATCTGCATGTAGTTTTGGTGAGTGGCCATTGATTGAACTAGAGTTATTAAAATTGGCCCAGCCCAATAAACCTGTGACCTAGACCTTGAAACGGGCAATATCATATTATGCAAATGGAAGTGGCCCGTTCAAAAGTCGCATTTGACCGGGTCGATTAGTGGGTTTTATATAATTGTCGGGCATCGGCCCTGTTGAATTTTTAACCAAATTTTAAAACTTTTCTCCATTTCATTTTAACACTTGACCTCTAGCTAACTAGAACATGAACTTACCACCAGAGCAAGCCATATTTTGTTGTCTTCTTGTGTAATAAACTATATCAAACCTATGAATAATTTGCTGTCTTCCATAATATTTTTAAAAAAAATTAGTTCAACATTTTCATTCATTTTGTAATATCAAATAATTATTTTATATACTTATTTTATTTGAGAAAAAATAATTTTAACTAAGATAAATTTAATAGATAATACACAAATTTTTGGTCAATAACTAACAAAAAGGGAAATTATACTTTTTAAATATTATATACAAAATTAAAAAATCAAAATTTAACCATTATCACTAATAAATGAGTTCAAAAAATCATTAATTTAAAGGTATAAAAATAATTAGTGACAAAGAACTTGAAAATTTTATGTCTCAAAACATTAAAAAAAAAATAATAATAATAAAAATTATACTTTAAAAACTATTAAATTATTTTGAAGTAATGGCTGACCGGTTCAACCACTGGTTCATCAGTTTGACCAGTAACCCGAAACCTAGTGCCTTGATCGGGTCGATGTTAGGGTTGGGTCTAATAACTGTGGATTGAACATTCTGATGAAATCTTGTTTGTCTATTTGAAAATGCAGTGTTCGATATGTAGAAAAGCTTTCTGTTTTTATATTGTAGAATGTAACTGAGAATTCAGCGGGAAATATTTATGGCACCAAAATTAATACAATCTGACAATTTAATCAGCTTGCACATATTCTTCATATATTGGAGCTGTGTTAGAATGTGAAGTTATCTCTTCTGGGCTGCCTTTTTATTACAGATTTCCTGTTATAGCCTATTTGCAGCAAATATGGTGGTTCGAAGTAGCTGGTGTGGTGAAGTTCCCTTTGAATCCAGATATATATACTTTATCTTTTAGGATTCACCTTGGAAAATTTTCCAAACGACTTGGACGCCATGTTTGCAAATTTGAGCACACTCATGGTTGGGGTATAAAACCAGTACGATTTGAATTGTCTACTTCAGATGGTCAGCAAGCATCAACTGAGTGCTTTTTAGATGATACTGAACAAGATGTCGCAAATGGGAGCCACAAGCGTGGCTGCTGGATAGATATCAAGGTAGGTGAATTCACAGTTAGTGAATCAGATCCTGAGACTGAAGTGAGATTTTCGATGAAACAGATTGATTGCACCCATTCAAAAGGGGGACTTTGTGTCGATTCTGTATCGATTATTCCCAGTAATTTGCGAGAGCGTAGAAGAGGTTTTTGAAGTGACAATGATGTGGTATGTTCTCGAGTTATGAGCAACCTTTGATGGCCCATATGGGGTTATATCGTGCAGCTTATACTTTTTGATAGCGTTGATATTTGGAGGATATAATCTAAAATGTTTTTGCAGTAGTTATGTGTCTTCTGCCCATGTAATTTTTATGGTTTTGTAATTCATGCAGTTTTGCTGCACATAAATCTGCAGAACATTAAGAAAATGTGCTACATTTGTTGCCTGATTTTTTGCCAAATACAGTTGATTTTCTTTAATGAGATTCAAAAAAGGTACAGCTCTATACTTAAACAGACCAGTGACACTGGTACTACTCTTTTTTCCCCTTAAACATTTAAATGTGTAGAAATATTCAGTGTCAAGACACCGGATTAACTCGTCCCATTTACTGGTATTATCTAGTCTTTCTGCTGGTGTGTGTATGGATGTTTCCATGGAGGTATGTAAACTTATATTTCTTTCTTTTTTGATCATTGTTTCCACCCCTTGCGATGGATATCTCGTGATTTTTTGTTTTTCCATAGTTTGTAAGTGATTTCAGAATAGTTAGTTGTTGAGGGACTGTTGCCACAGGATATGTGCTTTCATTTGCCGATGAGGACACTATCAGCAGATAGCACCAGCACAATTCTAAGACTGTTATGGTTAATTTGTACCATGATGTCATTTATGACGTTGCTAATTCTGTGGCATTCTGATTTTCTTAATTAACTAGTTCTGTTTTTCGTCCATTGTCAATTATAATGCAAAAAATTTGACCCACTTATACACATAACTGCAGTAGATGCGGATATATGTGAAAGAATACACAACTTCATTAATTTTGCTACTTCCATCCAATTCCTGAAACAGAGTTTCTTCACCTGCTAACTTGTCTTTATAAATGATGTTTTCTTCAGGAACTGCTAAAGCTAGACATGGCATGATTATCCAATTGAGATTTGAAATGCTCATACTTTGTGTTATATTATTTTATCTTTTTACTTGATTATTTTATTGTTGAAAGTAGTACAGAAAAGTGGGTTCATGTGATTTCATTGGCTGAATTTGGATCTATCGTAGCATAATAGTAGTTGAGGAAGGAGAACCAAATATAGTACATTTAGAAAGTGAATATTGATTTCCAATGGAGTAAATGATACTTTAGGTGTAACTGTCACTTGGCCATCTTATTGAGTACCATTTAAATGTCTTGAGTAAGGATGGAGTATAGAGTACTAGAGTATTTTCTTCTAATTGGTCCTTCATGTTTCGAAGTAACCATTAATATAAAATTTTGGGTGTGTAATTTGTATATGCTTCATAGATGCTCACATTTAACTGTCTTTTCTATCGCCACACATATGCTTTGGGGGGGGGGGGGGTTGGTGTTCTTTTACTGTGGTTTATGTTACACGTGTACTTACTCCAGTCCGTCATAATTAGGCTATGGAGTTCTGTAGTGTGAGAAATACTATAATCCCTGCCTATACGAGAGACTTTTTGTGCGCGCCGTCCCCTCTGCGAGAGTGAGGGGGAGTTGGTTTAGTGTATTGATTGAATAAGTGTAAGGTGAACAGAGGAGGAACTTCTCTTTAAATCATTAGTGTGGTGTTCCCGACTTCCGATGACATTTTTTACTATAATTTTACTGATGCTTAAGATCTGTAAATTTTACTTTTAGGGTGATTCAGTGCTGTCGTTTGCTTAGATCACATATGATTTGTAAATACTTAATATGCCACTGTTTCTTCTGTCAAAACTTGCTATACTTTTGGTTATTCATGCTACAATCTTTTTTCTATGAATTTATTACACTTGAAAGGTCTCAAACTCCTTTTTCTCTGAAGTTTTTACATTCACCCCAGTCGAGTGAAAATTTTCATGCTCCTTTCTTTTCCATATTATGGTTCAGGATGGATATAGTTTACCCCTCGAGAGGCCGTGCATTAATGTCTGAGTTTGGTGATTTTTATGAGGGTGCTGTTGCATCTAGCAGAGTATGTTACTTTGGTGGTTGGGAGGTTTTGTACTCCTCACACATTTAGTAATGGCTGCGTTTACGTTATTTATAACATGGTGTGGATCCACAGTAGATTGGGGTACTCATTGCCTCACATTAAATCCATTTAGGAGGCCAGAGGGGGGCCGGCCATAACTCCGTACTCAACCCTCTAGCTGACAGCCGCGGCCGCCTCTGTACAACGTCATCTTGTCCTTGTACTGGCAATAATTTAGTGAACAAGGAGACACTGGCTTCAATTTATTCACTCTTCATTGTATGTAGCCACCTCGTCACAACTGGAAAATTTTCGTCACAACTGGAAAATTTCAAGATTATCTCAACCATATGAACATCGTTCACTTGCATTTTACAGGCGACAAAATGAAATGTGTTTTGAATTCGTGTCCATTTTTGTATTGGCTCTTTGTCAGGGCGGGGGATGGGGTCCAGGCTTGCCCTTGCCCATGCCCATTTAGTGTTTAGATTTGGAAAAGAAATCGTTAATTTTATTTTATTTTATTTTTTTCTGCTCAGCTTCGTCCATGGTCTTTGTAGTAGATAAAGAACAAAGAAGTATCAAACTCTCTTATAGTACTCTTCCAGGTTACTATTACTAATTACTCGACTAACTCATTTCGAAGTATTATGAGCGGGCTAACTCGACCCTGGTACTGCAGTAACTGGCTGTTTCGTAGAAGTGTGCCATGAATGTTTGGGTTTATAGGATTTATGTCTTCTTTTGTTTGTTTGAGGTTGAGAGTTGAGGGAGTAATGTGCATTCTTGAATTTGGTCTGTCGCGTGGGGTTTTTATCTTCTCTCATGTGTAAGTATGTTTTATTACGAACATGGCAAGATCGTTTTCGCATTCAAGTGATACTATTTACTGCAAAAATGACCAAAATTGTACAGCTAGAATTCATTGCAAAATTTCACTTGACTTGCCCCAAATATCTTAATTGTTAATATTGAACTAATATTAATCTACGGAAAAAAAATTAATATTGTAAGTGAAAACTTCAAAACATGATGGTCTTTGTCCATGAAAATAATCATATCAGTAAAATTGTTATATTTTGCGTCAATAAATATTGTAGCAATTGATTAAGGATTTTTATTTCACAACTGAGATAAAGTGTACGAGGTAATATCCCACCTACTATCCTAAATAAGTTGTTATATTTTGAATTGAGTGGAAGGTTCAAAGGCATTCGAACTTTTATGGGTAATTGGCACAAAACGTCCTTACCTTTCAAGTCTATTGTGGAAAACGTCCCTACCTTTCATTTTTTGGCATTTTTGCCCTCATTTCAACCTTTCTTTGCGCTGGACGTCCTTCCGTCCATATTTCATCAGTTTTTCCGTTAATTAAATACAAAAATACCTTTTTCTTTCCATAAACAAGGGTAAAATTGTCCTCACCCACTTCACCCCTTTTTCCCGCCATCAACTTAGTCCATAAGTAACAGTAGCAGCAACATGAATCTGAAAATACTTTAAATGATTAAGTAAAATAAAGAAAAAATATCGTGAACACATTATATTTCACAATTCCACAACTACTGTTGCTGTCATCTTGTGTCACTGGAAAAATTTAGAAAGACATATTAAATGGGTAGTTAATTTATAATGAGTCAATTTAAAATGAGTCATTCATCTTCTCCATTGAGCCAAAAAGAGTCATTCACCATTTTGGCTCATTATAAATTGATTACCCATTTAATATGTCTTTCTAAAATTTTTCAGTGACACAAGATGACAGCAACAGTAGTTGTGGAATTGTGAAATATAATGTGTTCACGATATTTTTTCTTTATTTAACTTAATCATTTAAGGTATTTTCAGATTCATGTCGCTGCTACTGTTACTTATGGACTAAGTTGATGGCGGGAAAAAGGGGTGAAGTGGGTGAGGACAATTTTATCCTTGTTTATGGAAAGAAAAAGGTATTTTTGTATTTAATTAACGGAAAAACTGACGGAATATGGACGGAAGGACGTCCATCGCAAAGAAAGGTTGAAATGAGGGCAAAAATGCCAAAAAATGAAAGGTAGGGACGTTTTCCCCAATAGACTTGAAAGGTAGGGACGTTTTGTGCCAATTACCCAACTTTTATTATTCGGAACATTTTTAAATTTGAAAATCCATCTAGTCGACCTCTAAAGATCTAAACAAGAAAATAATATCACGAACACAGATCATAGAGTTGTATTTTACATTATTTAGTAATGTTTGGGCTGGATTAAAATCTGACTTTAATTTAAGTCAAAGTCAAACAATTAATATTAACTACATTTTTTATGGGTTCTACCACTTTTCAACTACGTGTTTCAAAATATTTCTATCACAATCTAAAAAAAATCTAATTGTAATCATTATCAAACACCCTCTAAAATCAAGATGTGTACAAATATTGCAAAAAGAATATGTGTACAAATATTGCAAAAAGAAGTATCTTTTCGTAGTATAGCACTTCATTTTAATGGACTAGTTTCACTACTAAAAAATAAGGCATCCTATGTTTGGTCACGGAATCTGCAAGTCTGCAGTGACGGATGGACCATTTCATTTTATGGAAATAAAAACTTGGAGGGTCCAAATTAATACAATCCTATAGATAGGTCCTTATTGAGGAACAGTTTTTCTCGTACGACAAGACGAAAATGGACAGCTCTCATTTATAGCAATAATTTAAATCTTATTAATTATTTTTATTGCTTTATCTGCTTCATTACTAATTTACTTAAAATCTATGTAACATATCTAGTGATGTAGCCGACTGCAAATAAAGAGGTCTAGTTTTTTATTTTACTATTTTTTTTTCACTTTGATTAATACTTAGTTAGGGGCAATTATGTCCTTCAAAATTGACTATTCTTATTTTTCTGTTTTACTTTTATTCACACTACAATTTTTGTTTATCGCACTATGTTTTAATTGTAATGAATGTCCTTAATCTTTTTTTTCTAATTGTCAGTCTTATGTCTTCGCATTCTAATTATTATCCATCAATTAACTATTACATTTTGTCCCTGATGACATTTTCTCTCTAAATATTTTGTAACGTATTTTGAAATGAGGGTCAAATATTTTGTCGAACTTTAGTGGGTCAAAGAAGTTATTTTGTGCTCTTCTAACAAATATTTCAATGAAAATAATCACCAATAGTGAGATGTTTTAATTAATTAAAAATTGAGGATAAAAATTGAGGATAAATGTAATGGAACCTTAATTGCAATTAAAATTTGATCCAACTGACAAAAATTGTAATGTAAATATAGTTACTCTTTACTATTTAAACTTTTATTACAACATTGTCATTTCCTTACGTTGATTAGTGAATTAAATTGGAATCTAGGAGTCTTTCATTTTAAATTAGTATTTTGTGGGATCAACGTTTTGTTCATCAAATTATTGTTCGATATTTGATTTAATCAACGAGATCATGATTTCAATTAGTCTTCAATATTTGGCTTAATTTTCAATATCGTTTGGAATCATCGAGCTTCATTATCACAACATGACATGCTCGACTCATTTTGTACTTTTTATGAAAATGAATGTATTGTTGATATTGATGTTTAGAAATAATTGATATTTAAATTGAATTGAAATAATAAATATATTTTTATTATTGATATTTATTTTTATTATTGAAGTGATAAGGAGAGAAAAATAAGAATTTTGCTTGATGCACGAGACCTGTACAAAATCCTCACATCCTTGAGAGAGTGGGTGGGGGGTGGGTGACTATTTAAAAGAAAAATTCCCCCACCCCTACCCCCACCCATGCATTGTGAGTACTATGTACAGGGCCTGCACAGTAAGCAGAGTTCAAAAAATAATTTAATTCACGGAAATGATTGCGGTGTCGTAAAATAGTAGTGCTTAAAACATATTTTAATTAATGACGTAATATTGTGTACTAATTTCTTTGACAATATATAAAATAAATGTGCCACGTGTTCACTCCTTATTACAAGAATTTAATGTATTAACACATCATTAAACCGTACAAATTAATTAATTAATTCTCAGAAGAAAATTTCAGATTTAGGCCAGTTTGAAAGTGATTTTGAGAATTGATTTTGGATCGTTAAGAAAAAAGTGGGAGCCACCTGTGAGAAAAGAAATCAAACTTTATGGTTGGGATAGTGAAATAACGACAAAAAAATCAATTTTTTGATGTGAAAAATCACTCCCAAACACACCAATCCAAATAATGAATGGCCCTTGGCATGGTCAAAGAGCTGAAATTTATTTTTCTAATAAAGTTTCCATAATTACACTCTTTATAGTATGTTTATATTATTCAAAACTACTTATTTACTTTTAAAACATTTCATGATAATTGGATTAAGGCCTAATTCGAAAGAATTTTTACTTCTACTTCTTGTAGAAAGAAGTAGAAGAGTTTATTGAAAAAGCTATATTTAGTTTCTCTAAACTTTCTTCTATTCACGCAAAACACTTTAGAAAATTATCTAAACATATTTAAAAGTAGTTTTTGAATCTCACAAGCAACTTTTGATTTTCAAAAATCCTGCCGAACGAGCATTTCTCTGGAAATAGTGCAGATCAAGTGACAATGGTTTAGAACTCAGACGGAGACGTAAATTTTTACGACTGAACCTCTCTAAAAATTGGAACTCTTAGTACACTTGCTATTCACTGGAAAAAAACTCTAATAAGTAGATAATAAGAATGGAATAATGCTATTTAATATCAGTGATGTTGAACATCAGTTTAAATGTCAGCATTTCATAAGTCCTATTAAATATATCATAATTTCTTGTATTTTTAATTGAATCTGTAATTTAAATATCTGTAGTGCTAAACATCATTAAATACCACTTCTCTGTCTAATAAACTATATTTTCCCCATCTAATTTTCCGTTCCCTCTTTTCTTCTGGACATGCATTATTATTAAAACGGTACACTATTATTAATTAATTAATAAAATTTTAACTTGGTAAATCAAGAGGAGAGTGCCTAATTAATTATGAGCTGTAAATCCTACTTTTGCTACTCTTTTTAAAATGAAATGGTAACCTCTCCTCAACGCTCATTTTGTAGGATCTGATTATAGACCCAACCCCATTCATTGAATGCAGTTGCAGAGAAAGGAAAAGATCCAAAGAGAAGGGTTGTGATCAGCTTTTCTATCAAATTTACTCTCTTTTTTGTGCTTCTTTAAACCGTGTCATTTACTGGTGGCTGTTAAGACGTGGCAGGCTCTGTACTGATTCTATGTTTCCTTCTTAAGAGGCCACTTGGGAGAAGAAGGGTGGAGTGGGATAGGATAGGGTAGAGTAGGGTAGTGTAATGTAGTGTAGGGTGGGGTTGAATAGCAGTACTTCCTATGGGGAAGAACCTAGTCAGGCTGAGGCGTGAGAAAGGGAAGGCACATCTCTGTAGTATAAGGGGACCAGATTGAGACCTTTGATTGCCATTTTCATCTTCCTCAAATATAACCGACAATCTTCTCTTTTCTCTCTCTCTATCACACACAACACCTACTCACAATTCTGCTGCTATTTATTTATTAGAACTTGCGTCCGAAGTTGAAGCATAAAATTTACGAACCCTTGTTGCACCCTAAAGCTTCTCAAATTCTTGTTGCATCAGAAAGGAAGTCAAAAACCCTTAAAACATTTTTCTTCTCCATTCTACAGAGGGAAAGGAGATTTAGGGTTTATATTTGCAAACAAAAATGGATTGGAATGGTAATCCAAGAGTGCCTTCCGTTTGTCGACCAGATGGTTCTTCTTTCAGCCTCCTCTGCAACTATAATTATGATCATTTTCCAGGTAAATCACCAGTCTTTTGTCTATGACGACGTTAAAGGATCATTAGTGTGTGCTATTTTTTATGTGTTCTCCCGCATGGAGCTCGCTGAAAACAGGTGCATAGGAAGAAATCCGAGTATACTTGCATGTTTCTGATTTCATTTTCTCGTATTTGGGATTACATCTTAATCCCTAATATTTCTTCCCTCTACAACAACTACTTAAGAAATTTTATATTCTTAATATTGATTTGCTGCTTTTTAGTTCTGTGCGTTTATCTATGTCTTCCATTCGTTAAAATTTGATAACATCAACTAAAAGTAATAGTCGTTTCTGGTTGCCTTCATTCTGAGCAACTTTTAGCGTTCGATCCTTTTCAGGTCTAGAGATGAGACAGTTGATGCAGACGCAACATGCATATCTCCCGACAATGGACAAGAACAACAATATTAATAATTATGGAAACCAGGACAAGAAGAAGAGATTAACCAATGACCAGTTGGAGTCATTGGAAAACAGTTTCCAAGAGGAGATTAAGTTGGACCCTGATAGGAAGATGAAGCTGGCCAAGGATCTTGGGCTGCAGCCGCGCCAAATTGCTGTTTGGTTCCAGAACAGGAGAGCTAGGTGGAAGGCGAAGCAGCTCGAGAGATTGTACGATTCGCTTAAGCAGGAGTACAATGCTGTGTCCAGAGAGAAACAACAACTCCAGGAAGAGGTTAGAGTAGTTGCATAGCAATTTCAGTTCTCCCTATGCCTATTGTCATGAGAAAGACTATTTTTAACATTTCCCCCCCCTCATCTTTAACAAGATTCAACTCCGTACAAGTTTCTAACTTGTGAATTTATTTCTGTTTCGATATCAAGGTTTTGGCATTGAGGGCAATACTTAAGGAGCAATTGACAAAAAACCAAGCCTCCACCGGTTACACAGAAGTTTCCGGCGATGAGACAGTCGAAAGCACGTCGATTCCAAGCTCCGACAAGCCTCGAGGAGGGACGAGTATTCATCACCAGATAACAGAATGCAACTATGTCCTGAACATGGAAGACTATAATCCTATGATGCCTCCATATTGGGCTGCTCCACCTTCTTGTCCCTGAACTTTCTCTATCCTTTTTATACTTAGTTTAATAATTCTACTTTCAGGTTCTAAGCTCTAACTATTTTACTTCTTAGAAAATTGGAATCAATTACTCAGTGACAGATTGAGTTACAACTTTTAATGTTGAGGTCGCCCAACCTCAACTTATTTATTTAGGCTAATAGAGTAAAGACTTCTAGTGACCAACAATGCTTTATCCAGAGTCTGTTATTTTTAATGCTGTTTAACTTCTTCATGTGATAACAGTTTAAAATCAAAGGCAAATGTTAAAGAAAAATAATGTTATGATGTATAGCTTTCGTTATTGAATAGTAGTACTATTTAGCAATAGCCGTGTTTGATTCTAATTTATGTAATTGAAACAACTACTATCTCATTGTTCAATGAAGTTGAGATGCATTTTTATTCAAGAATGAAATACTACCACCAATCCCTTTGGACTTGGGGCTCGGGCCTTCGGTAACTAGATCATCGATGGCTAAAAGGGTTCAGAAGTGTAAGAAAATAAAGTTGTGATGTGTAGCTTTTGTTATTGAATAGTAGTACCATATAGCACTAGACAAGTTGGTACTAGTTTATGTGATTGTAAGTTTGTAACTACTACTGTCACATTGTTCAATGAAGTTGAGATGCATTTTTATTCAAGAATGAAATATCACTACCAATCTCTTTGAACTTGATGTCTGGGTCTTCAGTAATTGGATCATCGACTGCTAAAAGGATTCACAAAGGTAATATGCTTGTTGTCTGCTCGTCTTCTCAGGCTACGGTGTCAGTGGAGGCGTTGTCGCCGGTCAAGTTCTCGTTTACATAGAAAGTGACTTTGGTTTGGCGCCTGGGCAAGTTGAATGCCTAGTAAAGAACGGGTAGAGCCATGAGAGTTAATTAGGAACTTGAAGAGAAATTGAAGAAACCATTCTTTTATTTCAAACCATTATGGAAAAAATGTAAGGGAACCAAAAGCTGTAACCGTAACGACCTAGGGATTGCAGCAAAACTGGAAGATGGAAAAAGGGAAAATCTAATCCTTACACAGACTTCAACAAGAAATACTACATGCTAATAATAATAAATTAAAACCTACAGACCTACACAAACCCAATTATCCTACTAATGCTCCGGGAATTCAAATACTCATTTAACGTTTTCCTCCACTTTTGGTGCAGCGCCCATGGGAAAGTTCCCCTTTGTTTAGTGTCGTGCAAGTGGCACATGTGCAGTGTGCTTCCAAAATTTTCTCAGAAACGTGTTCTTGAATTGCGACTTAATTTACTATTGGGTACCTTCATCAGATGATGACACGTGGTTGAATGCTGGCTGTGAGATTTGTGATTTTTTTATTTTTTATTTTTTTTTATTCTAGGTGAAATCAATGGAGGAAATGTTGTTCCTCACGTTGTAATAATCAGATTAGGGCTCAATATAGTTTACTGTGTTCTTGGTGAACTTTGAGCTCTTATTTGGCTCCCATTAAATTAAAATTCATTTTTATCTCTCTTCCTATCAATCATACATTCTTTAATAAAATAATATTACACATAAATCTAAAAACCTTTCCTTTTTTTTCCCCACTACACATTCTTCAAAATTACTAATCTCCTCATTAAAATGTGAAATAATGGAGCCCAAATAGGGGCTAATTCGATTGGTTTAGAATTTTGAAAAAGATAATGTGCTATGGCTTGATCTTTGTATTTTTTGAACATTTTGTAATATTGGCTGCCATTTTGAGCTATTATAGTGCAAGCGAGTATTGTCTATTTTGTTGAGTAGTAGATGCTCAACAAGAGATTAGATGTTAGAAGCGGTCATCGAATCTCTGTGACTTAGGTTGAAAAATCATTGTATTCTTATTCAACATAATTTTTGAAGTACTCAGAATATAATGAAAAAGAAAGTTAAGTTTAGGTTACAACACTATGGTTTAAGAATATTCAACAAATGTCGTAACAAGTTTCCTCTAATTCATCATACTTTTTGAAATAAATTCAGCTGCACAAATGATATTCATATTTTCTAGTCTGGGCTCCATATTTACTAATTAAGAACATGTTTGACAGCTTTTAAATAACATATATTATCATATAATTTTAAAATTACATCTTTACTAAATTCTGGACAAGAAATCATTCCTCTGCATGGACATCTCGAAGTCTAATGTTCAGTCTCCTAAGCCATATCGAATGCAGTATCATATGAAAAACATCGTACCGTTTCGGAGGAGAATTAACCACAAAATGTTTCCTCATTTGAATCCCTCTTCTCTGCATCTTTATATACTGCCTTTGAGGAATACTCAATAAAATTTTCTTCAAATTTGGTATATCCTTCACCGGAATTATAACAGAAAATGTCTTCCAATTCAAAACATCACTGAATGGAATCACATAATCATCCTTAATAAGCACTGGAACACAGCCCATGTAAAGACCCTCCACCATTCTTGGACTCGCCACTTCATATCCACTGGGGCAAATGCAATATCTGCTTTTTCGAACTATCCCATAATAGGATATATTCTTTGGAAGGTATTTGTATATTTGAACATCTGGATCTTTGTTTTCCCAGTGTTCCAGGAGAATTGGTCGAATGGGGCCGTGAACTCCGCCGGCGTAGAAAACGAGTATCGGACGTTTAGAAGGCGATGGACCGCCGAGCATGCCGTCGATTGTGCCGGCTGGAAGGAGGATTTCTGGGATGGAAACGTCTCTGATTGCGTCAAATCTTTCTGAGGTATTTGCATTGCATAGAGCTCGAATTGCGTTTTGGTGTAGATATGGAATTGCAAATGAAATTTCTGGACCCTGTGATTTTTATCATTTGATGAAATATAGATTAAAACCATTATCACCATTGGTAATACTGCATGTAATTAATATAACATGAAAATTTTAGTGATCAAAATGATACAATCATACAAGTTTGTTCACGTATAACTAATATTTTTACTCCCTTTCTTTTTGTTTTCAAATACTGCTAATTACGACAATTACGATCTTTTTCCGTCACTGGATAGGATAAAAACTTTCTTACTACTGACGTGACAAGATAACCTTAATTATGATTATGTAAAACGGTCATAAACTCAAAGATATATAACTAGTGTTCTCTTGCTACGTCAACACTGAGAAGTTTTTATGCTACCTACTAGGGTAGGGGATCAATTCTACTGATTACGATACCGAATAAAATTCTAGTCTATGTTCACATAATATCCAAACAAATATGTATCCAAACAAATATGTGAAGAAACAGTGATAAAAGTAACTTGTAGTTTCTTACCCAATCATGGCAAGCAAGCATGAAATGATCAGCGCCGAGGGTTCGATTCCAGTAGGGATGCTTTTGAGCAATAACATTAACATAATCGGAGGCAGTCTTTTTCATGAGACTCCAGTCGTGTGATTCAGCCACGTAAATTACTTGAGTTAGCATTGTCACACTGAATGGAAGGAAGAAAATATGAGCCTCCTTCGGGTTACTTGTCCGAAAACGGCTAATTTCCATTGTCTGAATGAAAAATCCCTCGATTGCATATGTGTGCTTGCAGGGACCATAATGAAACACCGGGGGATCCCCTTCTTCGTAAACATATATCTTGAGCCGTTTTTCCATTTCCAAGTAGCTCCTACACTTATATGATTAAGTTTCGCACAGTTCTATTTGAGTACTATTTTAAGAGAGTATAGAGTTCAATGCGACTTTCGAGGGACGGTGCAAATGGAGAAAAATATGTACCTATGAAAGGCTTTGGGATTCCAATACATGGGACCATTGGGAACGTAGAAATGATCTTCTGTTTGGTTCCCATGTTGAGCTTCTCTAATGGCAGCTCGAGCTTGTCCAAGACCGACTTCCAGCCTTTCCAAATTGCTGTACTTTTTTTGTGATCTAGGAATCCTGGTACCATTTTCAAGCACTTGCTTTTCTCGTACCTGTGGAACTATATATTTTCATCAAATTTGTAGTGAAGATGCAGTCACATTTATTGACCAAATTCAAGTAGAATGACCAATATGCCCATATAACATTTAATTCAATTTTCTTTAGAAAAGGACAATTGTGGTATTTTGTTTCATATGGAATAAAAAATAACGGCACAAATGGGGGCCAGTACATTTGCAACGATCAAAAAATGGATTAAAATCTGCACAATTTGCTCCAAGACAGGAGCTAACGGATGATCGACTGTTCAAATATTGTCTTTTTTGAATAAATATCCAGGTTAGACAGACATGTCCAAGAAATAGTTGCGCGCATAAGCTTAATTATTACTTAGGATGATATAAATTCCTGAACTAAAACCACTTAAAGAGCAAATGTAACATTATGAAGCACTTCAACTATTTGTTTATATAGTACGGATGTGATATGTAATCTAACTAATTCAAAGTTATTATGAGTTAATTACAAGAAAACATTCGTATAAGTAAGATGTGTTCTTGATGTAGTTTCTTTGTCTTTTTCCTTTCTTTCGTCAAGATTTATTTGGTGCTCAATGGACCGCACCGTGAGTACAAGATTGAAAAGAATGTGAAGCTATAATTGCCCAAAGTCGTGTTTGTTCTCCCTTCCATTTATATAATTACTTCATTTTCCTTGGAATATCCATTTCCATATATTGGCCTTCATATCTTTAAAAAAAGAGGCAAATATAAGGCATTTTTTAGGTATTACTTTTGTGATTGTATGTCAAAAACTAGTAAAAACATAATGGGCAATTAATTCTTGAGGTCTAGTTATAGGAAAGATACCCAAGCAGAAGTTTGATCCTATATAATTTGGGTAGTGATACTTCATAATTTTTCCAAAATGAAATTACAACCCAAGAGGGAATTAATTATTTTCAATTTTTAATTTTCTCATGACGTCTATATGGATTTTAAAAACAAAATAATATTCATACATTCCCAACAAATACAAATTCTTTTGCATTTCTCTGATAATCTTATTGCACCATAGTCAAAGAAAAATCAACTTAAATGGCTTGATATTTTAGTTTTGTTATATCTTTTCCCAAGCAATAAATCAAACTAAAGAAAAGTTGGCACCGGGATTGGCTCTCCTTCGTTACTTTTTTGTACCAAAAAAAGAAGAAAAGTCGGAGAGTATTGGAGACTTAAAATATGTCGAACATCAAACGTTAATAGGCAAGAAAGCATGTTGATTGTTATTGACTTATTGTGACCGGAAAAAATGTGCTTCTCACATTAAAATAGTGATACATACCATTTTTGATGTCTCTTAATTTAAAAAATTCTTCAATTTTCTTTTTAAATTATTAGGGATGAAAATTAAATAAGGAGATTGAATCAACCTAAATATAGATATACAATCGCAAGAATTCAACTTTAGATTTTTGCCCGACTCACATCCTACGCTAACCATTTCATCAAAAATTTGTGTATTCATTTGAGTCTTACGATCAACAGTTAAGTGTGAGTTGGAGAACTTACCGGCTGTTTTGGATTTGAGTCTCGATCGGAATTCAGTTCTGAGGAATTTATCAAATGATCAGCTTCCGGCAATCTTGATTTCATGTATTTCCCTACATAGTTTGAAGCGAAGGTACTAAAAATGAAGGCCTTAGGACTCATCGAGACCATTACACCAACAGCAACAATCAACGGTACCAAAAACCTTAA